AGTTATGATAGACTTTTTTTAGCCTAAAAAACGCACATTTTTCCTGAGAAAAACAACAAAGAAATCATGATTCCACAGTAGAAAAACACATTCTACTCCAACGTGTTTAGTTATTCTGAAGTTCAACTTCGCTATTTTCAACTTTGATTTTTTTTTCTTTGTATATATGGTCATTCTCACAATCTTCACTAACATTGAGATGATGTAAGATGAGTTAAATATCAGAACAATCCATTTTAAAGCAGCAAATTATAACAACTATGCGATATATATCGAGCAATTTCCCTATATAAACATTCGTCAAAAGATCATCTTTTGATTGTATAACTATGACTCATAAGCCACTAGTAGAGTAAAGAGGGATGATTTGGCACCCCATTTTGAATTTTTCTCTTATTCTGTTCGTAACTTTTTTTAGTTTAAATCATAGAAAAAAATGTTTGGTACAAAGTATGTAGAGAAAACATTTTTCTATTCAATGGTGTTTTTAGTTTCTAAAAATCTCTTCGAATAACTTTTTCACAGTCGTTTCAGTGAGATCTACTTTTACCTTTGCCGAATCACTACGAATGGAGTGATTTGGCAAATTCAGCTAATTTAACTGGGATTTTGGAAAACCTAATTTTGGTGAGAAACAAACATCATTTTCAAGTGATTTTTTTATATCAAAATGTTTCTCTCGTCGAGTTCTATACATTTGAAGATTTTCAAAAATTATCGTTCACCTTTGACTCTCTTCCCTGTACTCCCCCTCAGGATTTCGAAAAATTTTGTTTTTTTTAGTTAACCTTTCAAAATTAGATAGGAATATTAAGTCGACCACGCTGATCACAAATATCACTATTACAAGTCTAAAAAAAATGTAATGCTGAAATGAGAACCGACTTTTACTTAAATTCTGATTTTAGGTCTTCGATCAGCTCTTTTTGACTTCGTTCTTAGATAGATAAACCTGTAAAAAAAGGGTGAAAGATAGGCTTCTTATATGTAACTTTCATAACTCTATCAGAATCCGAATGAATCAAGGTTATCAGAAACATTCAACTGTTTTTATTATAGAAATATCGGCATAGAGCGAATGAAATAACTAAAAGAGTATATAAGTATGTTGTACAGGGAACTCGAAAATACAGTTTCATTGAAAGTCTTATTATTTAGGAAGGTCTCTTTCATTTAAATGGAAACTTTTGGTGTATTATAACGATCATCAAACCCTTCATTGATAAAATTTAAGTTTAAAATTCGAAGATGCTATGCTTTTTGATATACCGTAGCATAGATCAAAAAATGAAGGGAACTAGTGACAAGTCAAAAAGAAACATCTTTGAATGCCAAGGATTTTGTAGTTTTTTCAGGTACAATATACAGTACTTAATTGGGTGATACTTATCTCAGAGGCAACTCATCATCCATCGGAATTCACTTAGAAATATCATATATTCTGAAAATATGAAATATATTCACTGCAGCATCTGATAAATTACACTCATGTTGCAATTCTAAATAGATGAGCAAAAGTATTCTTTTTTCACAGCAGATAATAAAGAAAACTACCTAGATATCTTTCCAAGACAAATGAGCAGAAAAAGGCTTGAGTGGCATCGATCAGAAAGACGAATATACCAGCGAATAATCACGATATCAGGTCATTTTGATTCGTAAATCAGCATTTTGAAGCAGACGTCAGATTTTATTGATCGTTTCAATGGAATATTTGGATCGAGAATGACAAGTTACCTGTAAGTGACAGTTCTACGTATGTTCAAGATCACACAGTGCACCAGAAATCGCTGAACGCAAGTCGCTTTTAGTTATGTCATTCGCTTTATGCCGATATTTCTATCATAAAAACAGTTGAATGTTTCTGATAACCTTGATTCATTCGGATTCTGATAGAGTTATGAAAGTTACATATAAGAAGCCTATTTTTCACCCTTTTTTTTTTACAGGTTTATCTATCTAAGCACGAAGTCACAAAGAGCTGATCGAAGACCTAAAATCAGGATATAAGTAAAAGTCGGTTCTCATTTTAGCATTACATTTTTTTTTAGACTTTTAATAGTGATATTCATGATCAGCGTGGCCGACTTGATATTCCTATCTAATTTTGAAAGGTTAATAAAAAAAAAATTTTTTTAGAAATCCTAAGGGGAAGTACAGGAAAGACAAAGTCAAAAGTGATTTGAGAGAAAAAAATCACTTATCCAGGTACGTATCCCATATCGACCTCTTTACTCACAAAGAACTACTTCTTGAAAATACTTTGAGTCATAAAGTGGCCTTAAAACACTTGTCCTTTGAAAAAAATTGATATTTTTTTAAAAATTTTGAAGTTTTTATCATTGATTATATGAATATCAATATTATAAATTGAACGTTAATTTTTGAAAATCTTCTGATGTATAGAACTCGACGAGAGGAACATTTTGAAATACAAAAAAAAATCACTTGAAAATAATGTTTAATACTCACAAAAATTAGATTTTCAAAAATCCTAGTTAAATTAGCTGAGTTTGCCAAATCACCTCATTCGTGATGATTCGTCAAAGGTAAGAGTGTATCTCACTAAAACAACTGTGGAAAAGTTATTTGAAGAGATTTTTAGAAACTAAAAAGACCATTTATTAGAAAAATGTTTTCTCTACATACTTTGTATCAAATATATTTTTCTGTCATTTAAAATAAAAAAAAGTTATGAACAAAATAAGATAAAAATTCAAAATCATGTGCCAAATCACCTCTGTTTACTTTATACATAATAAAATCAATAAAGCTGAAACTTTTTTCATCACTGATTTCGAGAATATCATACATGTATGCCTTTCGTGCAAGTTGAAAATTTTCAATCACACGATTCTTTATGTCAATCATTGTCATTAATGTGCAGTGCATTGACATGTTAAGATACAATCAATATATCAAGATGAATATGTCTAATGAGTCCTGACGTAAACAAGAAAGGTAAATCGTTCGTGCAAGTTAGAAAAATAAAATCATATAATTACTAGCTTCAATTTATTTATTTACTAATGTCGAATTTTTTTAAAAGTACTTACGACCATTTGTTGAATAACTTTTCAACGATTCAAACTATAGAAGTCGGGTTTTCATTGTTAGAAAGAGCAAGACGGGAGATGTCGATCTGTATAAAATTCATTAAGTTCAAGCCTCTTTTCTATAGCTGTTTGCAGTCAGATATCTTTTTTGTTGTCTATTTTCATGAGTTTTCGTGACAAGTTAACATCAAATTAGAAGAAAATGTAACCGAAATCTCTCTGTATTTGTACTAAAATTCTCATATTTTAACATGAAAACCTAAGGAAAACAAAACCGAGAAGAAAATGCAAAGATTTGACAATTTTGGCACAAATACAAGAAGATTTCGGTCTAATTTGATGTTAACTTGTCACGAAAACTCATGAAAATAGACAACAAAAAAAATATCTGACTGCAAACAGCTATAGAAAAGAGGCTTGAACTTACTGAATTTTATACAGATCAACGTCTCCCGTCTTGCTCTTTCTAACGATGAAAACCCGACGTCTGTAGTTTGAACCGTTGGAAAGTTATTCAACAAATGGTCGTAAGTACTTTAAAAAGAATCTGACATTAGTAAATAAATAAATAAAAATCATAAAGTTACTACAAAACAAGTAAGTTTTAGTTTCCTACCTACAAGTAAACAGCATAGTTGGAAAGTACTTCGTTAACATTAACTTACAATGAAAGTAAATGAGTCGCTCCTATTTAGAATTTTGATCGATATAGATCTACCTGAAATCTCGAAGATCTATTTTAATTATTTAGTTCATCGAAAACTGTATTATGTAATTAGAGAATCTTGTTTGCACAAAATTGTATCATATTGGTTAAACAGAATATATTGAACAACTTTGTAAATGAACATGATAATTCGAAAAAAAGTTTCCAAAATATCTGTAGAAGAAAGAATTCTTTCTGTATAGTGGTTAACCAATTTTTATATTCTTCTTCGAAAAATTCAATTATCATCTTTTCTTAGTCTCTAGGATTATCTTTTCTCTATTACTCGTTATATAATTGTCTGCTATTCATCATGCTCATTGTATCAGTTACAATTGCTTTCAATTTAATAATAACCTTGTTCAGTATCACACAATTAAGCATTACTAGAGTTCCATTTGTACATAACATCTTTGATAAAGATCAGAACATCTTGTGTGCATCAACATTAAAATTAAGTCAAACTGAAACTTTCATACTATTACTATTGTGCGGAAAATTTAGATGTTCCTTTCAGATAATTAAAGAGAATAATAGAAGTAAATTCATTAGTATTTCTGAATTTGTAGTATACAAAATATCTATGAGACTTCAATTCTATAAATTTTAACATTTTAATAAGTAATTTCGATTAAGAAAATTATTATAAATATTATTTCATTGACAATAAAACTTGACAAATAAAGATGATACAAGTTGAAGTCGTCAATTTCTTTCTGATATCATTTGGCTTATAAATCGATATTCAATTCGATTTATTTTTAAGTTTTTTCTTTATTTCATGAATCTTATTGTTCGATTTTATTTTGTTTTTTTTTCTGTTTCTCTAATATTAATAAAAATTCTTCGATAAATTTCTTCAAAAAAGTATTTTATCTTTCGATTAAAATAGCTTTGAGATATGTATTTGGAAAACAGAAGAAATATTATTTCAAAGAGTATTTCTGTTAGAATTTTACGAGTATAAGTTATCTAAAAATTATTCATTGAGAAATTTATTGAAGAGAAAATATCTAGATTTTTTATTTGATCCTCTTTATTAGCCAAATCAGATTGGTTACGAATAACTTGCTGATATTAAATCTATCTTTTAATCTGCTTTGATCGTTAATGATAAGTTAATTATTCATGAATTTATTGGCCTTGACGATTCTTATCATGTCTAAATTTTAGTATAAGTCTGTTTCTTCATATATTCAATTTAATCTCTATATTTGCAATAAAATCAAATAACGATAATGTTATTGTCGAATCTTCGATGGTTATTTTTATTCTTTATACTTGGACAATTTAATAGACAATATGTAGAAGCGACTTGGCCCTTATTAAACTCTTCTACCATACAACTTTTAGGCCTTTTTCAAGATGCAGCGAATGCATCTGAATCTCTCGAATTCTCTATTCATGCTGAGGCTATGTTTAAAGCAGCAGTCATACTTTCTCAACAATATAATATAACAATTGAAGGAAAATTCATAGAATGGTATGTTGCACAAACTAATGGCACAGCTGTAGATGCTATAAGTAGGACATGTCAAGCAATATCTACTTATAACATTATTGGTATTGAGGGCCCAGTATTGTCAGGAGAAACTCCTATTATTGCTGGACTAGGAGAAAGAATTGGTATTCCTGTTATATCCTATGCTGCAACAGATCCTGATTTATCTGATCGACATGCTTATCCTGCTTTTTATCGTACAGTTCCTTCAGATAATATAGCTTCAATAGCAATTGTTAAATTATTTATTCGATTTAATTGGACTTCATGCATAATTATACATCAAAATGATGCATATGGATCTGGTGGTGCAAAAGCACTCACTGAAGCATTTATTAATAATAATTTAGTGGTTGCAGATATGTTAGTATTTGATGTAGCAACACGTCGTATGCGAGATAATTTGAAAAATATTTTAACTAGTAGTTCAACACGACTTGTTGTATTATGGGCTGGATCAACTTATACATCTTTAATTTTACGAAATGCACTTGAATCTGATGTACTTGGTCCACACTTTACATGGATATTAAGTTCAACTATTTCATTAAATTCTTTTAATGAAACATTTCATCAAAAATTAATTGGAATGCTTTCTGTTGAACCTATAATAGCAAATGTTGTTCGTGCACCAATTAATACAACATTATTAAATGCAGCCTATAATATTTGGAAACAGTATGAACCTGAAACATTTCCTGATTCAACAAAAGTAGATTATTATGCATTATTTGAATTTGATGCAACTTGGTTATTGATTCAAGCATTACAAAGATTATGTTCAAAAGTTACTAATAATTCTTTTTCATGTTTATCATTTATCAATTCTTCATCTTGTTTTGATCGTTATTTTCAAAATTCTAATTCATTTTTTGATACAATTAATCATATGAGATTTCTTGGTGTTTCTGGTCCTATACAATTTAATATTAATACAACAGATCGAATAAATGGTAGTTATTATTTTGTACAAAATATTCAGTCTTCTTCAAATAGATTAAATTTTATACCAGTATTGAAATATTCTGAGCAGGATCATTGGCAAGAATATTCAGAAGTAAATAAAATTATTTGGCCAGGTAATTCATCGATACTTCCTACTGGTAGAGCAAAACTTGACGGTGTTAAATTACATATTGGTGTGATTGAATCAGTTCCATTTACGATGATTAGTACTATAAGAAATGAATTTGGACAGAATACTACAAAGTTAATTGGTTATGTACCTGATCTTATTGAGCTTTTACAAAATAAGATGAAATTCATTCCAAATATTGGATTAATATCATCGAATCAAACTTATGCCTCATTAGTGCAGTTAATAGAAGATCATGTTTATGATATAATAATAGGTGATGTGACAATTACTACTACAAGAAGAGGAAAGATTGATTTTTCAAATTCTATATTTAATAATTCTTTACATATTATTATGCGAAAAACTTCCGATATTAATTTTGATCTCTTTGCATTCATGAAACCGTTATCATTTAAGCTTTGGTTATTAATCTTGGGTGTTATTATTTTTGCTAGTATTTTATTCTGTTTATTCGAAAGAGAGAATATTGATCCTTACAAAGAAAAATCAATAATTTATTTATGTGCAATGAGTATTTGGTATGTTTTTGGTAATCTTGTAGGATATGGTGTTGATTCTTTTCATACTGAAACACCCGGTGGACGTTTGTTAACTGCTGGTTTATATATCTTATGTTTGGTATTAGTTGCATCATATACTGCAAACTTAGCATCTGAGCTAACAATATCAAAAACAAAGAATGTTATTTCTGGAATCAATGATATTAAAAATGGAAAAATACTATCCAATCGTATTGGTATTCTTGTAGGTACAGCTAGTGAAGACTATTATTTAAGAGAAATCTCTGGAGGTAATCGAAATTATTATCCATTAAAGTCTCGACAAGAAATGTATAATAGTTTATTAAATAATATAATTGATGTCTCTTTTCATGATGCGGGTGTTGCAGAATATGTAACTAATAATATATATTGTGATTTAACATTGATTGGTGAAGGTTTTGATCAAGGTGCATTTGGTATTCTTATACCTAAACAATGGTTATATGACCAAGACTTAGATGTTAATATATTATCACTAAAAGAATTAGGTAATCTTGATACTTTGAGAAGAAAATGGTTTCAAGTAAAGAAATGTTCTGATTCATCGGAGACACCTAGGGCAATTGAAATTGAATCATTGAGTGGATTATTCATAGTGTTCGGAGTGATTTGTGTTCTATCATTATTATTATTTGCATGGAAGAAACGACATCACTTATGCAGAAATGCTAAACAACCTCAAGATGATATGCTACTGTTGTCAATACACACGCAATAACTGTGAATTATGTGTATATCCCAAATAAACTTGCTATACGATAAATCAATATGTATGTGAAATTGTGACATGTGTGAACACTGAAGATCACTACTTTATTATCTGATCTTATTTCTTTCAAATCAATTAAATTTCTGTTAATGTAGTTTTTCTGTTATTTTTTATTTTTCATGATGAATCAACACAATAGACATTGATCACAAGAAAATATAATATACAGTATTTGTTTGTCATATGTATAGATTGCATGAAGGTATAATATCTCGTTATCATTGTCAGTTGTGTATTTCAACATGAGTTCTTTATTCCTACTTATATCAACGTAGAAATTTACGCACTCATATATGACTTTTTCTGTTAAAATTGAATATTGAATTACAAATAGTAGACAAAAACAATATTTTACATATTGCCTTTCAATGCGTTAAGCAATGATAGCCAAAGTTGAATTTCAAATCTCAGAAACATGAACTGTCAAATATCATGTTCGAAGAGTTACACATTGTGAAGGCAAGTTCAATGAAAAATGATGTTCGAAGTTTTTGACAGTTCTTCAGTGAAGTATTTCCAGTGCATAAGTACGTTATGTTTGTCTAAGAAGAAAAAACATTCGATTAATTTGTCAAGACAACAGTTCTGGATGTGGGGTGTGGGTGTTAATCTTCACATCATCAATACCCACATCCACCCATACCCTCTTGTTTTTAAATGTTTGAAACATTTCTAAGATTACGAAACACATTATTTGATAGAGAAATTCATGAACAATCTTTTGATAAAGGAACATGTTTGAATCAAGTGAGAAATGATGGAGAAATTTTGAAATAATTAACAACGCAATTATTCCTCGACCACCTATTATATGTATTGTGTCGAACAAAAAAGTACTGAGTTGTTATTGGCTTAGCGCATACTGAATGCTGATTGGTTTGGACAAACAAACAAACTTTTAAGGTATTTATCGAGCGTATAACCCTTTCTTTCAGAAAAGCGAATAAAAGTAAAAAATTGCACAAACAGAAAGATTATCGTTATCTTAAACAAAGTCAAAATCATGATTACGGCGCGCTAGAATCACTCTATCATTACCCTGAAGATTTTATTTTCATCTGTGTGAATACAACGTTAGAAAGATTTTTTTTTCAATGAAGAAATTTATATTCGAACACGTGAACAATCGAATATGCTTCAACAGATTTGAGTGAAATTCATGAATGTTCTCGAAGGCAATAGTCAACAAACCTTGCATTTTAATATTCTTTTTCTTTCTATATAATATTTGTTTTAATGCAAATGACTTTTTTTCTTCGTATGGTGGAAAACGAATAAATTCATTTTACACCAAAAAAAAAAACTATTCGTTAGAAAACAAAGTGTCATTGAGTGTCATTTCAAAGAAAAAATTGCATTGCCAGTTTTTTCGAGTTATCCGTACGAAGAAATATGGCTGAATCAAATGTTGAACACAATTTGAAAGAAGGTTTTGTCGAAAAATGGGTATGGGTGTGGGTGGGTGTGGGTGTGGGTGTCATTAGAGAGTTGAGTATCCATACAGATACCTATACTGGCATTCACACCCACACCCCTACCCACCCACCCACACCCACACCCATCCTACCAACTGTTTCTTGTTGATTGTTTCTTCAAAATTAATCGATTCTTTCATTAGTTCCATTTTGTACATTTTTGATACTTCACTAAGTATCACTTTGATTTCCATTTTAGCATATTTTTCTCCAGGACAAACATGTCTACCCCGTCCAAATAGTGCTGCTCGATACAGATTACCATTGCTCTCTTCTCTCGGTGATAAATGTCTTGCAGGATCGATTTTTTCCGGATTTAGATATAAATCCTTAGCATGAGTCATAGAAGCTGCAACAATATTTCCCGATGGGATACACTTTCCGTCTGATAATGAAAACTCTCGATCGGCATATCGTAAGCCCAATCGATAATTCGTACTACGTCGGAGAACTTCATGAATGCAAGCTTCAATAAATTGCATCGAATTCAAATATTCCATTGTGAGTGAATCAGTAGATGGTGCACGATCTATTTCATCATGTTGGTGACGAATCCATTCAATAAGTACAAACATTGCAGTTGCAGATGTAGTGAATCATACTGGCAAAAAGGACTGAAAGCAATAAATGCTACAAATCTAGGTGTGAATGGTTGTTCACGTTTTTTAAGTTCTTCTTTTGCATATTTCACTGCGTTGTAAACGATGTCGACATCAGTAGGTTCAATGTTGTTCTCAATCATGTTCAAACAACTTTTGATATCGGGCATCATGAGCTCTACCCAACGTTTCTATACAGCATCTATTTCACTTCGCAATCCTAATCGCTTTTTTACACTACTTATAATTGGATTTAGAACATTATTTTCGACATCAAGAGTACTAAAGAGTTTAATAAATTCCTCAATATGATCCTTATATATTCTTTGTGATAAAAAATTAGTCGAGTTTATACGTAAAATTAGTCAGTACACGAACTCGAAAAAATCGACTATAATTTCATCGCCATGTTCCATCCACAATTGGGGGTGTGGGTGTGAGTGGATGAAAAAGTGGATCAACCTTCATAACTACGCCTCACCCACACCCATTTCATCACTTACCGCAACATGAAATATTTAAGAAATCAACCCATTACTTAAACATGTTTATTTCTAAATATTTTTTATTTCCACCTTAATATCAAATAGTGAGCATATTCTCATTAGACCTTAAAATCAATGAATGTAAAAATATTGAAAATAGATGTCTCTGTACATTACGTGTTCAAACAACACGTTTATTGTAAATGCTGCACTATCGTATTTTCTATTGCTATAAAATTGATATATCAATTATCTTTTTATCTTGTGATATGACTAACTAATGTTGTACGTTGTCTTATTACTTCTTTTATATTTGTTGTTGAAAAGTAGTTATATACATCCTGTTTTCTGTCCATTTTTTTTTCTTTGTCTTTTGTTCTTATTCGTTCCGGTCTTTCACTTCTTTCTCTTTCCTTTGGGTTTTTAACATATGAACCAATATAAGGTACATTTTAAATAAATGTTAAAAAAAAGACATTCTAAACTTGTGGACTCTCTCTGTAAAGTTCTTTTCGTTTTCTGTTTTCTTTTCTCATTTTGTCAACATCAAGATAATGATCGTCAGTTATGGGCATAATTGAAAAAAAAATCACCTCTTTTAATTGAAGAAAAAGAGTACACATATAGCAATCATAAATGAATCAAAACAAAATGTTATTTTATGCTCGTGATGAATAAAAGTTCTACTCATTAGACTGTTAGTTTTTTTCTACATTGCATTCAATAATTTATTCGACGCTGTTACCAAGAAAGTTGGACAACTATTAGGTCGGTGAGATCAATGAATATTTTACGCAAAATTCTGCATTAATAAAACGCCTGAGTGATACCAATGTCTATATTTCGACTAAAATCTTCACTATTCTCACCATTGCAATAGCTGTCAAACCCTCTTCATATATTGTCAGTATACTCTCTGCCCATGTGAAAAAAATAAGGGAAATAATCAGATTAAAATCGATTAGAAAATGATTAACAATCAATTATAATCATACACCTTTAATCGATTTTAATCTGATTATTTCCCTTATTTTTTTTTTCACATGAATGTGCACCATTCAACTAGCTGTTTTTCATGGTCAATGATTCGTAACTATCAGAATTAGAGGTGTGATAATTGATAAAATCAAATATAATGGTAATGTGTTGCCTTCTATACTTTTTAAAACTTCATTCTCTTCATTATGTCCTACCTTCGATTTTTCTTATAATCTATACAATGTATAGCAGCAAACTTATTAATAAGTTCTGATTGCTGTTGTCTTAATTACGAACTGATTATAATTTAGATAGAATTTATCAATGTCACAAAACCATCGTATAGTGACAGTGTCGTCCATGCGGCATTTAGCTTCCATTGACCAAGATATTGAACTTAATAACACTCCTACGAATATCGGCGAAACTCAATGTATTGACTCGAATAAAATTTCCTCATGTGAAAAATGTAATTCTGTTACAAATTGGTACCACAAGACTGCAAAAATCTTTGCCTGTCTCAATATAGAAGAACGTGGTATTGAACGAGTACCGTCAGAAGATCGAACTGATTTGACAATTATCAACACAGCAATGATATGGGTAAGAAACTGAAGAGTAACGACAGTTCAGTCATTCTCGATCTATTCTCCTGTAAAAAATACTTATCAAGACTATTGAATATCTGTTTATTAGGTCAGTGCAAATATAATTATACCATGTTTTGCTGCAGGTACACTCGGTCCAGCAGTATTCGAGTTAGATCTCAATAATTCTTTTGTAACCATCATCATTTTTAATCTATTGGGAACATTGCCAATAGCAGGCATGGCTTGTTTTGGTCCAGCATCCGGTCTACGTACAATGGTCTTTTCTCGTTATAGTTGGGGTTATTATGGTGCTTCGATAATGTCGATAGTTAATGTTATGTCAGCCATTGGTTGGGCAGCTGTTAATAGTATCACCGGTGCACAAACATTACGTGTTGTATTCAATGATTCATTTCCTATAACTGTTGGAATAATTATAATTGCTATTATAACGATGATCATCTCATTTATAGGTTATAAATGGATTCATATCTATGAACGATATTCATGGATACCAGTATTTATAGGATATTGTATATTAGCAGGAGTTGGTGCCAAATATTTTACAAATAGTGAAATGGTAATATCCATTAACAATGAAGAAGTCTAATCTCTAATGTGTTTGAAAAAATTCAGGATTATTTCATCCCATGTGAAAAAAAATCAAATTTTAATCAAAAATTTTTTGATTTAAAATCGATTAAAATGAGACGATTTTCATCGGATTTTAATCAAATTAATAATCAAAAAAAACTGATTTTAATTGATTTTTTACCGACTAATTGATTAAAATCAGTTTTATTCTGATTATTAATTTGATTA